CACTTGTCCTAGCCCCTCCTCCTCCTTAAATAATCAATATTTATCAATCAATTAATTATAATCACTGAAATTAATTATAATTTTAATTAATTATAGCTTACTTAACAATTAAAGCATGTAATTATTATTTAGTAATCAATCGATTAATCACTATAATCATAATTTATCAATCAATTAATATCATCATAAATTATCAATCAATTAAATAGTATAATCATAATTTTATAATCAATTAATTGATTAATTGATTAAATTAATCATAATTTACTTATCAATTAAATAAGGTTTAAGTACCATTTTGGTCCCTCAACTTTTCACTTTGGCACCAAAATTGTCCCTCAGCTTTAAAAAGTACTAAAATTATCCTCAAACTTTCATTTTCGGTACCAAAATGATCATTTCGTCAATTAAATGACAGGTGGCACGTTAAAATGCCAGCAAATCTTTTTTTTTTTTGAAAAAATACTGATGTGGAAAAGATAACACACGAAAATTAATGAGATGGCACTTTATTTTGTTTATGTGGCATTTTTAATTTTAAACAAAAAAATAAAAACCATTTATTATTAATTAATTAAAATCATTTTCAAAATTAACCTTCTTCTTCCTTATTCTCCTCTTCCTCTTCACTCTTCCCCAACATTTCTTCTCCTTCTCCATCTCTTTCGACTTCTCTTCCCTTTCCAGATTCTGGTTTCCACCCTCCGAGGTAATTGATTTTTATTCCTCCTTGATCGTTTACAAGTTGGATTTCTCAACTCAATCTCATTCTCTCGACCTAGAACAACATACCCAAAATCTGGTGTGAAGGAGAACCCAGGATTTGCAAATCTGAAACTTTTCTTGGGATTCTCCCTCAACCCATAAACCAAAGCTTTCTCTTCCAGAACTTCCTTGCTCTTGCTTCTCCATGGAAGAAGATGACAAAGGAGAAGCAAAGTCATCATCACCATTGTCGCCATCGATCTTGGGAGGAAGGGGGAAGGGTGGCGAGATGGGCCTTCATGTGACCCCTTAAAGCTTTGGCATTGGCGAAACCCCAACCACATAACTGCCTTGAACCAGCTTCAAATCTAAATTAATTTAGGGAGTACCGGAGGTGGAGAGGAAAAGGAGAAAAGGTTTGAGAAACTAGAAAACCCAGATATGGGTTTGCTAGTTGCCTTGTTTGGTTGCTAAGAAACAACAAGATACGACAGCAATGCATTAGTGATGTAGCATCTTGTTTTCTTTTGATTTTGATTGTGAGCAATTTTGAGTGGTCAGCTTTTGTTTTCATTTTTATTTTCTCAGAAACCAAACATAGGAGTCTGCATCAATATCACTAATTACTGTATGATCAAGTAGTTAATTGTTACTCTTTTTTGAAAAAACATTTATCAAATCGAGTGCATTATGTTTGTAATATTAAAATCCATTTTTCATTTCGGAACATCAAAGATGGATCCTGTAATTTGCTTAGGCCAAAGCCAGATTTTTCTTTTTATTAATGGTAAAAGCTAATTTCTATACCCCTAAGTACTTGATTTCATATGATTGTGGAATGAAAATGCACATTTATTTTCATCACAGAGTTTGGTGGGTTTGAGAAAAACCCAGAGTTTGGTGGGTTTGAGGAGCTTGAGGCGTTGGTGGATGTGGAGAATATTGGGTCGCAGGGGGTGCTGGAGAAGGCTCGGTTTACAAGGGAAAGGGTTTTGAGGAAGTATTATATGCTCAAGGGAAGAACAAGAGAACCCAGATCTGGGTTTTTCTCTGTTACAATATAATGCTGAAATGGGTTTTTTTTGCTTTGGTGTCAATTTCTTTGCTTAGCTGTCAATTTCTGGTTTACGTGTCTTCAAGATAAATTGCAGGATTAGTTTATAATTTGACAGAGTCCAAGTTTGTTATTGAGTCTTTACTTAGTGGAGTATGGTTCCTTATTTTTAGAGATAAGATT